CAGAGATGCTCCCCAAATGGGGAAAACGATGGCGCGAGTTCGTGGCACAGATGGTTGAGCGACTGGCGTTTCGGTGCAGCACGCCAGGCGCATCAACTCGGGTATTGCTGATGCCGTTCCATGCCACGTTCTGTCCTTATTGGGCCCTCTGGGTTTGAGAAAGATGTTTGCGTGTTCCCACTTCCCTGTCTGGCCCTTCATCGGAGCCTCAGAGGGTCGCGAACGTCGTCGCCGTTTGGGGGGTTTGTTAACTTTCCCAGAGGTGCTTCGGGACACACGTGCGCACTAGACGAGACACGTGCGCGCAACATCGAGATTGTTTGTTATCCTCTGGCGCGTAACGGTCGTTACCCGCCACACCGCCTCCCGCCCCCCCTTCCCCGAGTAAAAAGGTAATGGTCGCTAGTGTGGGAGGGGGGTGCCTGGACCCCCATCCCCCCATGTTGCTGCTCGCGCGCGTACTTCGACGATCGCAGCGCACCCCCGTCCCGACGTGTCCCACCCCGCCGAAGCGTTACCGTTACCCGGGGCCTCGCCCCCCCCTTGGTAACGACCCTTACCAGACATCATACAAAGAACACTATGTCATGTGGGGCTTCCAGCCCAAACCTGATGATATAGCTTGCAGGTATCCGCCAAGAACTGACGAGCCATGCGAACAACAGCTTCGCCGGCTGGTCTGACTTCAAAGGGGGCCTTCGAGGAGGGGGCCGGCCTCTGGCTCGGGGCGGGGCGGCGGCGTCTCTCGGCCTCTGGCCAACCTGGGGGCCGGCAGCTGCTACGTGTGAGATGTGAGATCCACTGCTCTCTGGGGTCGGGGCCTCTCCTGGAGGCAAGGATTGTGATGTTCCAGCCTACTTTAGCCCTGACCACCAGAGAGAGTTTCGAGCACCACGAAAGTACCGAAACTTGAGGGTTTTCACGTGTCGGGCCCTGGGAGGCGACTTTCGTTCGACACTGTTTTGATACTTTCCTGGGTGCTCGAAATTAGTTCCGGGGCTTGGTCCTCAAGTGCGATGCGAGCAACATGAGGCAAGGACCGAACTCGGGCCCGACCGAACTCGGACCCGAGCCCCGCGCTGCAGCGGGAACCCCAGGTCCGAGTCCGGCCGGGTCCGAGTTCAGACGGGTCCGAGTCCCGCCTGTCTGAGTCCAATCAGTCCGAGTTCGGCCGGGTCCGACTGCGGCCAGGTCCGAGTTTCGGGGTCCGAGTTCTGCTGGGTCCATTGGAGGCAACAGGCAGAGGGGTTCTCACCGAGGGCTCCCAGGAGGCCCTCGAGCGAATCCACGACGGGAGACCTCCCTCAAACAGGCGTCCCCTTGTGGATTTCGCTTGCGAGGCTGAGAGGCGGAACGTCGTCGGCCATGCTGTGGCTCGAGTCTGAAGAGCGCTGGCGGGAGACTGGCTGGCGTCTCTGTGGCGTGCATCCTTGTAGCCTCTCCTCCTCTTTCTCCCTCCTTAGGGGTCCGATTGCTCCCCTGAGGGGAACCGCTGGGCAGTGCACGGCTGCAGATTCAGAATGTGTGCGGACCACTGCGGAGGCAAGTTCGCTTCCCCGACTTGGGATGCCACCCTGTAGGAGCCCGGATTTGACCAGATCACCAGAGGGCATAATTAGGGTGAGGAGGGGGCGGTGGACAGAGAAGGCGATAGAGAGGTGGAGCATCGACTGGTGCTCCTCACTAAGCACCTCAATCTCATTGCTGTCCTCCGCCCCCCGCTTTAGGCTGCGTGGCAGGTTTCTCGCATCGGCCAGACCCCGCTCCCCTAGGGGCTGAGGTGTGTGAGCCCGACCCACGGCCTAAGGGTACATCCGTGACAATCCTCCTCCTCCTCCTCCTCCTCCTCCTCCTCCTCCTTCATCTCCTCCTCCTCCTCCTCCTCCTCCTCCTCCGCCTCCTTCTCCTGCTCCCCCCTCCCTCCTCCCTCCTCCCTGTGCCTTGAACTGCTTTACGACCTGCCGCCACCCCAAGGGAGTCATGAAACGCAGGCCGTGTTTTGTCCCCCTATCACCCTTGATCTGATGGTCAAGGAAGCGCATGAAGCGCTTGGGGTGATACAGTAAGCATGAAGAACCGAGCTGAGAGTCAGATGCGATGGTCCCTCCCTCCTTCCTCCCTCCTCCCCCCCTCCTCCTCTCTCATCCCTCCCTCCATCCCTCCCTCCATACCTCCCTCCTCCCGCCTTCCCCCCTTCTCCTCCTCCTTCCCCTGCTTCTTCTTCTTCTTCTTCTTCTTCTTCTTCTCCTCCTCCTCCTCCTCCTCCTTCTCCTCCTCCTCCTCCTCCTCCTCCTCCTCCTCCTCCCTTCTCCTCCTCCCTTCTCCCTTCTTCCTTTTCCCTCCTCCCTGCTCGCTTCTCCCTTCTCCTCCTCCTCCTCTTCCTCCTCCTCCTCCTCCTGGGAGAGGAGGCCAGGCCTGGGGGAACCTGTGCGCTCGAAGCCTCCCCAGGGTGCAGATGCTGGCGAGCGCTGCTGGCACGCGGCGCACGGTGCGGCGCTGGTGTTCCCCCGGACCTCGCCCGCGCTCTCGGCAGTCCCGTTGCGGCACTCCTCGCTCGAGGGAGGAGCAGCGGCACAGATGCTCTTCCCAGGGGCGGCCAAAAGGGGGGTTATGACTACAGGCTTGCCTCCAGGGTGCCCTGGGTTTCTTGGGTTTCGATGGATTTGCTGTGGAAGGCGTGGCGTTCCCACACCAGAAATCCATAGACGTCCTGGGGTCTCGTGGTTGGCTTTCTCGTGGAAGGTTTCTTGTGGACGGGCCTCCACTAGAGGGGTGTGGGTTATCATGGCGGGGGCCATGATATCTCCGCAGATTGGGAAGGCCTTCGGCCGGTGCCGCCGACCCTGGCGGCCTCGGCCCTCGACGGAAATGGGAGGGACAGGGCGGGCCGGGAGGGTGGTATTCTGACCTGGGACCAAACCCCCCGGGACCACCCCCAGGGACCACCCCCCCGGGACCCCCCCCTGGGACCACCTCCCGGGACCCCCCCTCCCCCCCTTCGCGGGGAAGGGATCAAAGGGAAGGGGCTTCCCTTCGACTCAGTGACAACGTTGCTTCATTTCGCAGTGGATGGGCTTGGTCTATTTCGCTTTGGCCGGCGTGCTCGCGGACGAGGGCCCCAGGAGAGGGGGGGGAGCGGCCACGGACTCGTGGGACGGAGGGGACGTGATGGCGGCGGCGACGCGGCGGCGGCAGCGACGGCGGTGGCGACGGAACAGCCCCTGTCACGCGCCGACGGGGTCGGCGGATTTCACGGCGCCGCTTCTAATCTCAAGACGTCCCCTGCCCAACACTGGGCCGCGCGCGTGCCTCGGGTCATGATGTGCGCACCCCCCGCTTGGACGTCCCCCTCTTTGGACGCCCCCCGAGTGCCGGCACGATCGCCATGGGTACTTTGCAGAGGCAATGGAGACAAAGACTCGCAGCAGTCCCTGCCCGTTCCGAACAGAAGCCGCTGTCCGTGTCGCCGCGGTGCGCGTCCAGTTGAGGCCCAAAGATGCCTGCTCAACAGCGGCCGCTGTCGGATTTGGACAACACTTACAGTCAGGCATCGTGTCCACTTGTTCCGCACCCACTACCCGCATCGGAGGGTCGCGCGGACATCTTGGATCGCCGCGGGCCCCCCCCATGGCGGCGCCTGTGGGGCCCCCCCTGGGCGCGCTCCACTCGCCTGGGAGAGAGGTCCGCGCAGATCCAAGAACATCCGCGCGGGCCTCCGATCGTTTACGCACGTGGGGGGTGTTGTTGTTCTCCTCGTCCTCGTGCTCCTCCTCCAAGGGATGAACAACCACCCGGACCCGATAGTCGAAGTTTGCTAAACGGCCCTGGATGTTTACTAAGCAGCCCTGCCCTCTTCGACTCCTTCTGAGGATGCGTCCACCAAACGGCTTCGCTTGCTGGGGTGGTTCTCCTGGGAGGGAATTTTCGGCCCCCTGCGAACGCTGGCGCTCGTGCGGCATGCTGTTGCTCTCCTCGCCCTCTCGTGCTCCTCTTGCTCACCCGTCGATGGGGCATGCCCACGTCCGTGCCCTCGGGGCCTGGGCACCGAGGCGCGACCTCCCGTGGATGCGCGGCCTCACGGGCTCTCTGGGCTTCTTCCTGAGCGTCGGGGGGGTGACCCCCCCCCCCCCGACGGGGGGTCGACCTCGCCTCGCCCTCGCGCCGCGACGGGGGTCGGAGCGCCCTAGGCGCGCGGTGGCTGCCCGCGACGGGGGGGCCGACGCGGGGCCGTCGGCGGGGGTGACGCCCCCCCCCCCCCCCCCCCCGACGCCTCTTGGAGACGCTCGGAGCGTGCGCTGCGCGCGGGGGGGCACGCGCAGCGCCGCCCCGCGCGCGAGGCGGGCGCGGCCGCGGGGGCCCGGCCGCGAGGCACTGCGTGTGCACGGGCGCGGTCCCTCCGCCCACGGGCAGTCCCCCCCGCGACGCTCCTCGGCCTCCCGCCTCCTCCCCGTGCCGCCTCCTGCTCCTCCTGCCTCCTCCGCTCCCGGGAGAACGAGGGGGGAGGGAGGAGAGAGCAGGGAGGGATGCTCGCCTTCGTCTTCTTCGTTTTCTTCGTCTTCTTCTTCTTCGTCGTCGTCGGCGTTCTCCGCCTCTGCCCCTCCTCCCTCCTCGCCCAGGGCCCCCCTGGTCGTCTCGGTTGGACGCGGCTCACGCGTCCTCCTGCTGCTCCTCCCTCATCCTCTCTTCTTGCACTTGCTTTCGCTCTTGCTCTTCTTTCCTCTGATCTCCTCTTCTCTGCTCACCTCTCCTCCCCTCTCCTTCCGTTTTCTCCTTCTCTCCTCTCCTCCTCTCCTCTCCTCCTCTCCCCTCCTCCTCTCCTCTCCTCTCCTCTCCTCTCCTCTCCTCTCCTCTCCTCTCCTCTCCTCTCCTCTCCTCTCCTTCTCTCCTTTCCTCTCCTCTCGTCGTCGTTCTCGTTATCGTTATTGTTTCTCGTCTTGTTCTCGTTCTCGTCCTCGTCCTCGTCCTCGTTCTTGTTCTCCTCCTCCTCGTCCTCCCTCCTC